GGGTCCTGAACTATTTCAGTGGCCCTGAACCCATTCTGTGGCTATTTCCCCAGTTTTGGAATGCGCAATTGAAACAGATATAGTCAGTAGCTGGCAGAACCTACAAACTAGTTCACTGACTTGTGAAGTGAGAGCTATCCTGGTGGGAAAGATCAAATGGAAGCCATTTGGAAAAGGCTTCCACTTTTCCTTAGGTTTACTACCTAGGAAAATAGTAAACCAAAAGCAACACTATATTCCCAGAGGAATTGCAGAGATTTGTACCACCATTAAGATACTTCAAAGATGCAGGGGTAGTGGTACCCACTGAATCCCCATTCAACTCACCTATTTGGTCTGTGAAAAGACAGATAGGTCTTGGGGAATGACATAGATTATCATAAGCTTAACTAGGTGGTGACTCCAATTATAGCTGCTATAACAGATATGTTTCATTCCTAGAACCAATTGACACATCTCCTGGTACCTGGTTTACAGATATGGATCTGCCAAATGCCTTATTCTCCATACCTGTCCGTAAGGCCAACAAAGCCAGTTTGCTTTATTGAGGCAAGGTCATCAGTACAATTTCACTGTCCAACCTCAGGGATCTGGTCTCTCCTCAGCCCTTTGTCATCATAAATTAGTTCTTAGAGATCATGGCACCTTCCCTTCCACAAGATATCACACTGATCCATTACACTGATGACATTCTCTTTCACAAGATATCATACTGATCCATTACACTGAGGACCTAGTGAGCATAAAGTAGATTCTACTCTAGGCTTATTGGTAAAACATTTATGTGTCAGAGAATGGAAAATAAATTCAACAAAAATTCAAGGGCCTTCTACTTCAGTGATATTTCTTTGTTTTTTTTTTTTTTCTTTTTTTCCCTTTTTGAGACAGAGCCCCGCTCTGTCACCCAGGCTGAAGTGCAGTGGCACAATCTCAGCTTACTGCAAGCTCTGCCTCCCGGGTTCACTCCATTCTTCTGCCTCAGCCTCCTGAGTAGCTGGGACTACAGGCATCCGCCACCACACCCAGCTAAATTTTTTTGTATTTTTAGTAGAGAATGGGGTTTCACCATGTTAGCCAGGATGGTCTTGATCTCCTGACCTTGTGATCCACTCGCCTCGGCCTCCCAAAGTGCTGGGATTACAGGTGTGAGCCACCGTGCCCAGTCCTATCTCAGCGATATTTCTAGGGGTACAGTGGTATGGGAAACATCCAAATATCCTTTGCAAAGTGAAAGATAAATTCTTGCATCTGGCCCCTCATACAACCAAAAAAGAGGCACAATGCCTACAGGGCCTCTTTGGATTCTGGAGGCAACATATTCTCATTTCAGTGTGTTGGTCCAGACCCATTAACACTTGAGATTTTGAAATAAAGCCCTGCAGTCCTGCACAGATAACTTCTGTCTTGTTGAGAAAGCTCTTGGCCTCCTCCCACTTAGCCTTAGTCAAGGCTGAACACTTAACTATGGGTGACCAAATTACCATGTAGCCTGATCTGCACATCATGAAATGTTATCTGACGCGCCAAGCCGTAAAGTTGGGTGTGCACAGCAGCACTCCTTCATCAAATGGAAGTGATGTATATGGGACTGGGTCTGAACAGGCCCTGAGGCAAAAGCAAGTAATATGAAGAAATGGCCAAATATCCATGGTCCTCACCCCTGCTCTACTGCCGTCTGCCAACCTGCACTTATACCCTCATGCAAAGTTCCCTAGGAACAGCTGAGAGAGAAGACCCAGAACTGTTTACAGATGATTCTGCATAATGCAGAGGCACCAACCAAAAGTGAACAGCTGCAGCACTACATCCCCTTTCTGGAACATCTGTGAAGGATAGTGGTGAAGGAAATCGTCCCAGTGGGCAGAACTTCAAGCAATGCAACTCGCTGTCCACTTTGCTTGGGAGGAGGAATGGCCAGACATAGAAGTATACATTAATTCATGATCCATGGCCAGTGGTTTAGCTGGAAGGTCAGTGACTCGGAAAAAACATGTTAGAAAATTGATGACAAAGAAATTTAAAGAAGTGATCTGTGAACAGACCTCTCTGTATGGATGAAAAAAAAAATGTGAACATACTTGTGTCCCATGTGAATGCTCACCAAAGGGTGACCACAGCAGAGAAGTATTTTAATAATCAAATGGATAGGGTGACCTGTTCTGTGGACAACAGTCAGCCTCTTTCCCCAATCACCCCTGTCATCACCCAATGGGCTCATAAACAAGGTGGCCACGGTGGCAGGCATAGAGGTTATGCAAAGACTCAGCAACATGGACTTCTGCTCATCAGCATTGACCTGGTTACAGCTACCACTAAGTGTCCAATATGCCAGCAGCAGAGACTTACATTGAGTTCCCATTATGGCACCATTCCCCAAGGTGATCAGTAGCTACCTGGTGACAAACTGATTATACTGGATGGCTTCCATCATGGAAGGGGCAGTGCTTTGTTCTTACTGGAATAGACACTCTGGATGTGGATTTGTGTTCCCTGAACACAACGCTTTTGCCAGAACTACCATCCACAAGCTTACAGAATGCCTTATCCACTGTCATGGCATTTCACACAGTATTTTTTTCTGATCAAAGAACTCATTCACAGAAAATAAAGTGGAATTCACTCGTCTTACCATGTTTTCCACTATCCTGAAGCAGCTGATTTGACAGAATATTGGAATGGTCTTTTGAAGACTCAATTACAGCACCAGTTAGGTGGCAATATTTGCAGAGCTGGGCAAGATTCCCCCAGAAAACTACATATGCTCTGAATCAGCAAGTAATAGATAGTGCTGTTTCTCCCATAGCCAGGATTCACAGGTCCAGGAATCAAAGGATAGGAACAGGAGTGGCACCTCTTATTGTTACTCCAGTTACACCAGAAAAATGTTTCCTTGTTCCTTCAACTTTATATTCCGCCTGCCTAGAGGTCTTAATTTCAAAAAGAGAAATGCTTCAACCAGGAGACAATGAACAACAATGGTTCCATCGAATTGGAAATTAAAACTGCCACCTGGCCACTTTGGGCTCTTCGTGCCTCTGAATCAACAGACAGAAAAAGGGAGTTCCTCTGCTGACTGGGGTGACTGATCTTTACTCCCAAGGGAAATTGAACTGTTCACAATGGAGTAAGGAAGAGTATATCTCTCATACAGGAGATCCCTGGGGGCATCTCTTATTATTACTCTGCCCTGTGATTAGGTCAGTGGAGAACTACAACACAATCCAGACAGAACCACTAATGGCCCAGATCCCTCAGTAATGAAGCTGGGGTCACTTCACCAGGAAAAGAATCATAACCAATTGAGAAACTTGCTGAAGGCAAAGGCAATATGAATAAGTTGTGATAGAAAGTAGTTATAAATGCCAGCAATGACCACACACCTAGCTACAAAAATAAGGACTCTAATTGTCATGATTATTTCCTCCTTCTTTTGTTATGAATACAATTGTGTATGTGCATATAAATACATATATATTTTTCTTTCCTCTCTTACTTCCCTATTATATAACATAAAATGTATTGTTTTATCACAGTATTTAAGTTTTGTTAATTTTACATCATAATGTTTAAGTTATAAGATTTCAAGAAGGGTAAACCTCACTCAAGTGCTTTAACTCCTCTTCTGGGAAAAGGGTTATACATTTTGTTGTATACAGGATAGGAAAATCATGTGGAATTATGAACTTGTTATTGTCTTTATTTGGAGGTTAAGTATGGTTTCACAAGGCACGTATGGCTATCAAGTTGGCAAGGGGTGGACTTGTGATGGTTAATTTTATGCGTCAACTTGGCTGGATCACAGAAGCTCAGATATTTGGCCAAAGATTATTTGTGAGTGTGTCTGTCAAGGTGTTTGCAGATAAAATGGGCATTTGGATCGGCAGACTGTCCTCCCCAATGAGGACTGACATCCCCAGTCTGTTGAGGACATGAGAAAAACTAAAGGTGGAAAAAGGAAGAACTCATTCCTTCTGCCTGGCCACTTGAGTGGAAACATCTGCCCTTGGTCTGAGACTTATACCATCGTCTCCCTAACTTCTTAGGCCTCAGAACCTCAGACTGAACTACACCACTGGCTTTCCTGTATCTCCAGCTCGCAGACAGCAGATCATGAAGCTTCTCGCCTCCAGAGTCACATAAGTCAATTCCACACACACACAACACACACCCACATACATACATATATACACACATATACATATATGTCTGGAGAACTCAGGTTAATACAACTATATATTTGGGAAAGGCTTGTCATTAAGTCCATTTGTTGAAAAATGTTGCTAATGTCCTATTTCATGGTCAATGGCTTGTCAGACATTAGATCATCCTTATTTTTGCCTTGTTATGTGGCCAATGTAAGGTTTGTGCCAGATAGAGCTCGCTATCAGTTTCTTATTGTCCATTTGCACTTGTGTTGTTAATATGTCTTCAAAATTCACGGCTTCTTTACAAGGATATTTTTAACCATTGGCCTCAAATCCTAAGCTTCATTTTTTTATGCTCAGAAATTTTCTATTGGGAGCAGGTCAGGGGCAAATAAATGTCAATTCTTTTACCCTAGGTCAAAGATGCATGCCTAAGTTATTCTTCCCACACCTCAGCCAAAGGTACACCACATCTGCAATCCTGAGAGGCAGGAATAATAATACCTTACTTACCATAGGCTGATGTGCCATAGGACCCTGGAGAAGCCACTTCACCTACTATTAGTTGGCCTTCTGTGCTTCACAAGAGGATTTTTCAAATCTCAGCCTTCACAAACCAGAGTAGAGCTTCTGGGACTCCATACTGTTCCTGTCACAGCCCAGCTTGTGTACACATCCAGCCACAACCAAAACCCAACCAGAGGTAATAATTTCAGATTTTGAAGTTCCCTTTATTTCCATACCTGATCTAATTTTGTAATATGCCCTGGGCCATGCTTCATGCCAACACGTATCCCACCTTTATCAGTCAGATCGAATGTATTAAGCCAACTGGAAAAGGGGTACACATCTCACCTTTTCCCAGAGCACTATTTCTCATCAATCCTGCTTCCAGGTGATCACCATGTGCAGCAAATGAAGCTCCTTGATGACCCCATCATATAGCTTGGGCACTTTGCAGAGAAGGATGAGTTTTGGCCAGAAATCTGTAAGGACAGAAAAGTAGCCAGTGGCTTTCAAACAATCCCCTGGAGGGCTTGTAGGCTCCTGAGCCTCACACCCAGAGTTTCTGATTCAGGGAGTCTGAGGTGAGGCCTGAGAATTTGCGTTTCTTTTCATTATTTTCTTTTTGAGACAGGGTCTCACTCTGCATCCAGGCTGGAGTGCAGTGGCCCAATCACGGCTCACCACAGCCTCAATCTCCCAGGCTCAAGTGATTCTCCAACCTCAGCTGCCCCAGTAGCCGGGACCACAGGTGTTCACCATGATGCCCAGCTAATTTTCTATTTTTTGTAGAGACGGTATCTCCCTAGGTTGCCCAGGCTAATCTCAAACTCCTGTGCTCAAGGGACCCTCCAGCCTCAGCCTCCCAAAGTGCTGGGAGTACAGTCATGAGCCACCACACCTGGCCCAAGAATTTGCATTGCTAACAAGTTTTCAGGTGATTACTGAGGCTGCTGGTCCGTGGACCACACTTTGAGGAACACTCCAGACTAAGCCAAAGGATACCTCAGTACTTGTCTAGCATCATCTGGCGATTTTTTCCCCCTGGAAATGCCATCTGTTATCTAACAGCCTGATGCTATTGCTAGCCAGCAGAGACCATCAAGGCCCAAACACATGCATGCATTTTTAAGCTCCAGGAGCTTTGCAACATAAAGGAGTTTGAAAATGTAAGTGTCTAGGTCTTTTCTAGAAGCTCCCTAATTTGTAGGATAACTTATCTCCCCATGCTTTATGTAAGCACAGGGAACAGAGGACAATCAATTCCACATTGACATGTTCTGACAGATCCACATACATAACAATTGAGATTTGAAATTACATCGTCAAATGAAACCCTGAGAGATCTTTCAAGAGTTTTCGGCCAGGCATGGTGGCTCACGCCTGTAATCCCAGCACTTTGGGAGGCTGAGGCAGGTGGATCACGAGGTCAGGAGTTCAAGACAAGCCTGGCCAAGATGGTAAAACCCCATCTCTACTAAAAATACAAAAATTAGCTGGGCGTGGTGGCAGGCACCTGTAATCCAGCTACTTGGGAGGCTGAGGCAGGAGAATCGCTTGAACCTGGGAGGCAGAGGTTGCAGTGAGTCAAGATCACACCACTGACCTTCGGCCTGAGCGACAGAGCGAGACTCCATCTCAAAAAAAAATAGTTTTCATTTTTTCATTTTGTGTTTGTTTGTTTGAAGGGGGAAATATAAATGAATAAGACATGATACCAGCACAAAGGGACCTGAAAATCTATTGGAGGAAATAAGATATATAAGGACAGGCTCATTGCAGAGCGTGGAATGCAGTCCAAGAGCGTAGAGCACTGGACATGGAAGCTCCATTGCTGACTCATTGTGTGATAATGGGGCAAGTCCCTTTGCCTTGCATGTGGTGACAAACTCTTGGAATCTGTATTTTGTAACTATGCAGACCACAGATATGATATCTTATGGGACCATGGTTCTCTAGGGACAACTCTGTCCCTGAGAGCTAAGTCCCAGGGATGATAGCTAATCCTGGGACACATAAAGCTAAGACATCAGGACCCCCCATGGAATCACCCACAGGGAGTAACTCAGAGCAGCAACCTGCTGCAGAGAGGGAAGTAGCACCTACAGCCAGCTGTGCTAAGACAAATAACTATTTTTTTAGAACTTACCATGTACCAGGTACTAGTCTTAGTTAGATGTATCATTTTGTCAATCCACACAACATCGCTATAAGGAACTGTAATTATTCCTCTGCTTGGGATGCTTTTCCCAGACACCCACCTATTTCAATGCCCTCACCTACTTCAAGTCTTTGCTGAAATGTCACCTTTACAATGAGGCCATCCCTGACTGCCTTTTTTTTTTTTTTTTTTTTTTTTGAGACAGAGACTTGCTCTGTCACCAGGCTGGAGTGCAATGGCGCAATCTCAGCTCACTCCAACCTTGACCTCCCAGGTTCAAGCAATTCTCCTGCCTCAGCCTCCCAAGAAGCTGGGATTACAGGCGTGCACCACCACGCCCGGCTAACTTTTGTATTTTTAGTAGAGATGGGGTTTCACCATGTTGGCCAAGCTGGTCTCAAACTCCTGACCTCAAGTGGTCCACCTGCCTCGGCCTTCCTAAGTGCTGGGATTACAAGTGTGAGCCACCCTGCCCAGCGCTGACTGCCCTCTTATTATAACATCTTCCTTCTTTCCCCAAAACCCCTATCCATTTTATTCTGCTCTACTTTTTTCCATCACATTTATCACATTCTAACATGCTATGTATAATTTACTTATGTTCATTGCCTATCTTCCCCTATTAAATGTCAGTTTCCTGTGGGCAGAGATTTCTCTCTGTTTTGCTCACTGACATATTCCAAGTACCTAAACAGGCAACAGCAAGTCCCAAGGTAAAGGGCCAGACTGCAAATATGTTCGACTTTGTGGGCCACATGGTTTCCATTGGAACTACTCAACTCTGCCTTCGTAAGACAAAAGCAGCCACACTAACGCACAAAACGGGTATAGCTGGGGTCCAGTAAAATTTTATTTACAGGCACTGCAACTCAAATCTAACATAATCTTCACATATCACAACATATTTGGCTTTTATTTTTCAACCACTTAAAAGTGTAAAAACTATTCTTAGTTCACAGGCCACATAAACAGGCAGCAGGCTAGAATTGGCCCACAGGTCACAGTTTACCAGTCCCTGAGCCAGCACCTATTAAGGGCTCATATAGAAATCACTGTGCCAAGATATCTGAGGGCACTTGAAAGTGGGATGTTGCTTTAAGTATGTCAAACATTCCTTATACGATCATGTATACACACATTACTAATGTGCTTTGCCAGGTGCCTTTCCATAGTACGAAGGTAAATTTAGCTTTATTCACTGTCTGAATTATGTACAACTCATTTAAATTAAATAAGATTAGAACAATGAAGTTGTCAAGTTTTCAACGATCACATAAAAAGAGTAGATGGTAAACAATTCTGTCCCCAAACATCTCATGCATCTCACATTGTACCTCATTGATAAATCCAAATTTCCAGCATGAGCATTGGATTTGATTTTATTATTGTTTAAAAAGCAATTGACAGAACTAGGAACTAAACCAGTTATGATGTTGTAGGCATTTTCAACTGTGACTCATACTGTGAAATATGGAGTTAGCTCATCTCAACAGGACAGAAGAGGCTGCATGGCATGTGGTTGTGTGTTATTGAATCTAGAGTTTGATCTCAACCCACTTCTCCCCTGTGGGCCCTGTGCATTTGAGTCCTCTGGTAAGGAGGGTGGGCTCAGATCAGTTTCTACACTGGCAAGTTAGTTCAAGGCTATATTCTTGTAGACACACCCTGCTTTCCCAAAACTGAGGTAGACATTCTGCAATGTCACACAAACACGCTCAAAGGAAGCAGGGCTTTGGCATATAGTAGGCACTCAATAAATATTTGAATGAATGAATAAATATATGGATAGCTCTGAACTACTAGGGGGAAAAAAGCACTCATTCAAGTAAACAGGTCATCATTAATTATCATTTACTGTACTCTATTCTTGTCTGCCACAGGAGAAACAAGAGATATAAGCCCCAGTGCTTGACCACTTATTTATTTACTTATTTCACAAGCAGTATTAAATACCTACTATGTTCCAGGAACTCTACAAGGAATTTGGCCTACAGAGCTAATGAAGACACTACGGGGATGCATTATAACTTCCATGGGTCCTAGGCTCTTTTGCCTTCATGGACCCTTTCTTCCCATTAAAAACATTAAAATTTTTATTTTACATTGTCTTAAATATAATTCAGGCTGGATTCATTTGTTATGTTCTTAATTATTATATTCATTATTTCTTCAGAATTTAAAAGCAATTAATATTAAAACGTTGACCCTAAAAGTACCCTGGGCCCTGGGCTCTGTGTCTGTTGTGCCCAGTGGGGCGACTGCCCTGCGACAGTCTCTGTCTTCCTGCCTCCTGTCCTGAATGAGTCGGTCCAAACGTTACTCGAAGGAGCTGATCAAGGTAGCTGGGACCTGGGGGGTGGAATTCCCAAGTGTGGGAATCCTGAGAGGTAACTATGGAGAGCTTCCGAATGGAGAGCCTGTGGCCGTGGGGTGAAAGTGAACAGTGACAGCAGTCTGTTGGGGGGTATTAGGTTCTGAGCAGGGCGAGGAGGGGGATCTGGTTGCGGGGATGGAGAGATAGTAGCAATGGCAAGGCAGGAAGTTACAGCAGCAGCAGGACGAGGAGGTTGACTGCATCACTCAGTGCGGACTGCTGGCGCCTGAGTGGAGTAAGGCTGATGGCTGTGCAGGGAGCAAAGGCAGTGGCCACTGGGGAGCCAGGTGGTGCGGGAGGGGAGCAAAGCAGACCAAACAGCCTGGCATGGGGTGTTGAGGCCCAAAAAGGATGATGAGGATATTAGCACAGTCTGTGTGGAGTGTCGGAGCCTGAGGGTAGATCAAGGTAACCAGCTTCTCACAGTGAGTAAAAGAAGTTACAAATCTGGCCAGGCGCGGTGGCTCACACCTATAATCCCAGCACTTTGGGAGGTCGAGGGGGGCGAATCACTTGAGACCACCCTGGGCAATATGGCGAAACCCCGTCTCCATGAAAAGTATAACAATGTATCAGGTGTGGTAGCACACACCCGTAATCCCAGCTACTCAGGGGGCTGAGGTAGAATAATCGCTTGAGCCCAGGAAGTGGAGGTTGCAATGAGCTGAGATCACGCCACTGCACTCCAGCCTGGGTGACAGAGCAAGACTTTGCCTAAAAAAAAAAAAAAAAAAAAAGTTACAAATCTGGAAAGTGAAAACTAGAATGAATCTGTGCTGCTGTTAGATTTAAATCAACAATATCAGCATGAATTCATGCTTTCCTGTATATACAGATATAAAACTAGATGTGTGTGTGTGTGTGTGTGTGTCCTAGCTCTATACACTGAGCGCCTGGGAGCAGAGACATTCCAATAGCAATGAACATAGCTACTATCATCCACATTT